ATTATAAAAAAAATTTTCAATAAGATTATATATGATATTTTCAATGGCAATCCCTTTTTAACCTTTTCATTTATATCCAATATGCTTACATCTAAATGTATACATGACAAACATTGAATAACTGAAGAGTCGAGTTGAGCATCTTTTAACACTAGGGTTACATCAATTCTTGAAGTTATGATTCAATACACTAAACAATCTTCATCCAACCATACGATTTAGTGCGCTAATAATTGTGATACATTTATTTGATGAGAAAAGAGTATAAATTATTCAAATTTGAACAATTTTGGCACACAAGATCATTTAGAAGTAAAGAATTGAGAAAGAAAATTCTCAATTTTGAAGTCAGATATTTTTTTTTTTAACAAATTTTGATGTAAAATTATACTTAGATAATCAAATCATGACACAATGGGGATAAACGAGGCTCCACTGTACTTCAGTGAGAAAGAAGGAATCGTGGTTCATTGATTCATCACTGAATTGTTGCAGACCTATTTCACACTGTAGATAACTGGTACAGTTTTAATATTCAAAACTAATTACTACTTCTGTAAACTCCACCGTGGTTTATCTAGCAGATCTCTTTTTTTGTGACCTTGGCTAGTGCTTTACATTGAAGTTTGTAGGAATTTCTTCATTTCTAATCCTAGATATAAAAAAGTCTTCAGATTCTATGTGAAGGAGCTTGGAGCACTTTGTGCTTCTCACTGACATGTCTGAATAATGCCGATAGGCTGCTGATATGATATCTATTTTGCCTAGAGCCTTTATCAATAATAAACATTAAAAATATCTTGACAATCAAACATTCCTTTAATGAATAAGTGAAAATATTTTTTTACGCCATAAATATTAGAATTGTTCAGTGTGGAAAATTTGGTCAGATTTGTATTATGATTGTTCATTAATTTAAAGAAAGCTTAATCAATAATAATCAAATTTGATTTTCGAATTATTTTGTTAAATTGCCAAAAAGTACAATTTTGGTATGCAATTTGAACATGTAAAGGGATTATAAAATATTTTCTTAATTCAGGACCAAGTCTTCATATAACTGTAATTATTGATATTAATGACTGTAGTTTCAATAACATAGAATTGCTTAAACATATAGAACTCTGTTTCAGCTATTCATATCCCTTTTAAGAGCTAAAATATATTTTTAACTCAATGATCTTTTTGGTCAATGTTAAGCATAGCTAAAGAATTTATTATCAATTAAGAAGAATTTTTTTTTCATATAGATATATAATCCTGGTTTATCCTGAAGATTATCCTAGGATTAATAGAATTAATGGGAAATAATCAGCCTATAGAAATGGTTACTCATCTTCTTAATGTTTTTCTTTTTCTTAAGTAATGGATGGCGCCAAAGTTAAAGTTTGGAGGCTAGCTGAAAAGTTCTGAGCTTAATTCTAAATGACAGATAAATAGGTTGATGCAAGTCAAGATGCAACCTCAAAAAGTCGTTTACAGTGAGGATGACGTCATCTTAACTAAAAAAAAAAGTTTTATGATTCATTGAATGAGTATCCCATTGTTGGTAGCAAAAGATTGTTTCAATCCAATTGAGATATCCCACTTAGGTTTAGAACTTTTCAGCCATCCCTCGTATTTAAAGAAGAACTCTCTGCAAACTTAATGATTCAGTTTTTTCCAATTAAGATATTTGATTTGTGGTTGAATAAAGAGATTCAACTCATGGAAAATAAAGGAAGCGATTTGATTGGCTTGTACATCGGCAAATACAGCCAATCAGAGCCCTTGACAGAAACATTGTCTGTTCATAGACATTCTGTCAAGGCCTCTGATTGGCTGTATTTGCTAGCATATAATCCAATCAAATTTGCTTCCATGATACAAGGAAAGTGACTATTGCAGTCAAGGTATAAGTACAAAATTTGTAATAGCTTGACATTGTGAAGATGATTACAAAGCTACTTATTTAACTTGTTAGAAAAATCACTGGATACCTTGCTTGATCTGTCATATAAACATGGAACAACTTAGTCTTAAAATAGTGATTGGCTCTTTCTCCAAATTTAAAAAAGGTGCCAAAGTGACGCCGCTAAGTCTGGTTGACCCATATTTATCTCTGAATTTGACTGAAGTCCAGTGATCTGTGCAATCATGTGAGACAAGCATTAGATTGTTATCACATTGTTTACACTTGAATAAAATATATCATTATGATAAACAAATAAAAAGATTATTGATAGTTGTGTACCAGGATCTTATTGTCATCCCTACTGTGTTGTAATTACCATATAGACACCATATTAATCTATAGTCTTCAATTTTGTCTAGTCTAACTGGCCATTCTTTACCATAAATTGTTTGCAACCATATGATCTAATTATTTTATTCATAGTTGATCAAATGTTTGCCACTATAATTGTAAAATATATGACCAGAAACACTTAAATCTCTTTGTCCAGAAAGTAAAAGTTAATTAAGTTGGTAACCATTTGGCCACGCTGAAAATTCTCTGGAAGGCATGACAGTCGAAATATGATATGATACAAATTTGCTTAATTGAATGAGAACAGGGTGTTATATTATAATTCTGTAAAGGGATATAATTGGTTGAAACTTATCTGGTAAGGTATGGTTGGAATAGCCATGGTAAAATTAAAGGACAGATTCGCCATCCAATTGACCAATCATACCTAAGTCTCAGAAACGTGAATTTTTTTAGCTGAGCTAATCAGTAATGGTGTTCACAGATTACTGTCGAAATTTTATTCTTTAAATCCATGTGTGTATAGAATTATCCAGGTTTTAAAATGATGACTCATCTTTTCTTGAGACTCTGCCATATATAATTATATGTAAATATTTAGGACTCAAATGAACCAAGGAAAATGGCAAATCATAGCCTTTAAATGAAAATGTTATGTTAAATGAGTTGATTAGGCAATGTGCAAAATACACAGACAATATTAGATAATTTTCCTTTCACCTACTGTCTGACAACTCTTGGCGTTGGTGATTCATTATCTCCCTTTCTTTCTTAAAAGTGCTTCATTCCACTTAGTAATATTAACAATATTATTGAATGTGTTGGCTCTCCCAGGGTGATGTACTAAGAAACTAAGCTGGATACCTGAGGATTTTAATAGACTTTGTTATGTCTCATTGTATCCTGTTGTTTCAATGATAAAATCAAGTGACAATTACTAAGATTGTAGAAGCTATTAGAAGGTTTACTTTGTTAATGAAGCATTCAATGATAATGAATTGAAAGTGACCTCCCATGATGGATGTTTTAGCTAAATTATTTTTTTTAAATTCTAATTGTTAAATGGCGCAATCATTATACTGTTTGAAGGTATATAGTAACAACAGAATTTAGCACAAAATTTTGGATCTGTTGGATACTGCACAGTTTTGTCTGTGTTCCTTAACCATATAAGATGTAATACTGTCTTTTATACAAGATCCTATCATTAGAATTGATCATAATGTAGCTAGCCATATAGCCTCTTTGGTTAACTGTTATTTGTCTTTTTCATCCTAATGTTAGGGTGTAGTGTGATATTATTCCAACTATTTATCAGTGGGAATACAACTTTAAGTTAATTTAATGTTAACATGTTAGAAATGCAATTAATAGATTGAACACCCACTATTGTGTATTTTATATTCATTGATTCAATACATCATCTCTTATAAATTAAAAATTATAACATTTGAAAATAGATACATCATGTATCGTGTATTGTGACTCATTAATAATTTCTTGTTCCAAATCCTAGTCAATATTTATAACCTTCAATGTAATACATTCGAGTAATAAGATTGTTTATGGTGCTATATTAGTTGGAATTTAACATAGAATTTAAGTTGTTGAACGGGACTTTGACGAAATACTCAAGGTTCGAAAAATAAACACTGAAAATTTGTTACTATTGCACAGATTTCTACTTCAAAATCTCGTGATGGTGCCTTTGCAAAATGTCAGAAATAGTGAAGGAAATGTTTTGACAGTTTGGAGGTTTTATTGTTAATTTCTCATCCGTATTATCAATGATGTCATTATATCACTATCAGTAGCACATGTATAGGAGACTTTAACTTTACTTGTATATTTAAGTGTAGAAGAACTGAACCTTGGATTTTCATTCTGAAACGTTATATATTATATGTGATAACTGAAACATGTGTTTATCAGCCAACAAGAAATAATGAGGAAATCGACTTGTTTTAGTTCATCAGAGTTTTACATGATAACTAAAATTAGAACCCATGATAACCAAGCAAATATTTCAATGCTGTGAATATATGTGAATTAATAATGTATATTTGTTTCAAAAGATTATTCTTTGCTTAGACTAGTCAGTTTATGGAACAATTGATTAATACCTTGATCTTTGTGTATTTTCAGGCGGAACGACTTCACAGAAAACAACGGTGTTCAGTTGAAGAATGTGACATTTAATAAGAGTGAACACTACGAGAATCCAGCATTCTCGATGGAGAACAATGATACTCCACCCCCACCACCATACAATGGTCATGTCAATGATTATGCCAGTACCAATGGAGTTCGTGGATTGCCTGATCCTAATCTAAAAGAAAGTGTGTCAGATAAGGACTCTGTATCTAAACATGGTTCTATTGCCAGTAATCGTAGTTCTCTAAGTGGTGTTAAATATGATGATATGTTTATAGGTATGTTCTTTCATTATATACATTGGTCTATGTCTTTTGAATTTTTCATCTCATGCTAACATGTTTTGAATATGAAATCCTCATCAGTACAGCTGGTTTGAAAAAGGGTTCTTAAGTTTCCAAGAACAGGACTTTATGGGTTTTCTGATTTGTGAATCTTTCCTTTTGAAGGGTTAGGGGTTTTCAAAATTTTACCCTTGTTCAACACGCTAATTATTGGAAGTTAGGAATTATGATTCAGTTTTAGACCAACTTGATTGATTGGTTCAGACAAATTCTGAACCTAGTTATGACATACATAAAACATCTTGTTAAATTGGTATTTTTATATTATTTCATCTGTACTTCTGTACTTTTATGTAATTTCATCTGTCCTTCTGTACTTTTATATAGTTTCATCTGTACTTCTGTATAATTTCATCTGTATTCCTGTATACTATTATCTGTACTTCTGTATAATTTTATCTGTATTTCTGTATAATATCATCTGTACTTCTGTATAATTTCATCTATATTTCTGCATAATATCATCTGTATTTCTGTATAATTTCATCTGTATTTCTGTATAATATCATCTGTACTTCTGTATAATATCATCTGTATTTCTGTATAATATCATCTGTAGTTCTTTATTATTCCATCTGTATTTATGTATATCATCTGTACTTATGTATAATGTCATCTGTACTTATGTATAATGTCGTCTGTACTTATGTATAATTTTAGATGAATCTGGTCTAACTCTGATATATTCTAAATATGAGGTAAGTATTATAAATTTTATTTTTTACTCTCTTTTACATATACTTTTCATGTTATAGATTACTTGGTAGTTTTTCCTCTCAAATGGTTGTTCTATTTATAGCTTTGTTAAAAAAGGGGAGAATGAAATCTCAACTTTTAAGAAGTATAACAACTTAGGTCTACCAGCTTATCCAAGTAATGGTCTTTTTCGTATTATCCATACTTATTTTCACCTGGATCAACTGAAAATAGGAAAGATGACTTAAGGAACATTCGCTGACTAAGATTAGAACCCACAACCACCATTTGTTTATATGACTGTGTCTGAAAAGTATTTTTAGCCTTGAGGAGATATCTTAAGATAACAAATTTGTAAGCTAAATATTCCTTCAAAAATAAAAATTGGTTGGCTCGAGTCAAGAATTAAGTAAAAAAGAATTTATTTGTGGGTCACGATATACAACCAAATGATCACACTTGGTCAAAATATGTCAGATTTTTGATGGTTTTGGCAGGTTACGTCTTTAAAAGATATTTTTACACAGAATTAGTAGCCATAAAATATCTTTACACACTTTCATGACATTTTTATTTTATAAATTGACTATTTTGACTATTTTTATTTCTCCAAAATACCTTGATACATAGTTTTATAAGTACAGATTTATTCATGAGAGTTCACATTCTGATATTTGTCCTTTGATATTACTCAAATGATATATTCCAATGATGTATTCCAACAAAAGCTAAGTAAACAGTCAAGTCCAACAATATTCCACTGTTCAAAAAATCTTGACATGTTTTGGATATAAAATCCTAATCAGGCCAGTGTATCTGGAAATTGGGATTAAATATCAAGTGAATGTACTTGTATTAAAAATTGACAGTTGATTGACAATCAATAGTCTAGAATATCACATCTTGTATTTTGAACAATGTCACAATTACTAAATCTATTAATCTGAAGGAATGTAAAATATTGTCTTGAAATAGAATATTTATTAACCAATTTGTTTTCTTGATTTTTATACGTTTTGATTCTATCAAAATCTTCCAAAATCAGTTTGTGGTTTTGATAGAAGCTTAAGTTTTCATTCAATTTGGAATAAAGTAGGTATCAATACGAATTGATGAGATATCAATCATTTGCCATCCATGATCTGACAAAACCGTTATTCAACTCATGTTCTAGGTCATTTCATAACCTACCAATTAAATGCCATGTTCAAAGAACAATTTTTGGATATTAATTTTTAAACATTGACATAATTTTAACAACATTTATAGTGTTTATAGGTTAGCATAAATTATACAAATTTAGACTACTTGGTCAAAATTCTTACAGAACACAATTTAAGGAAGAATCTTGTCAGATCATGGATGGCAAGTGTAGAAACCTGCAGAAACAACTGACTTAACAACTGAAAATGCCAGCAGAAAGGGGTCTATATTCATTGTGGCCGCTCTTTGGATCTGTTGAGTAGTACAAAATGATCGTACTACCATTAACACATCAAATGGGTAGAGTGTTTAGAACACACCTAAATGCCGATGGCAATGATAATAGCCAAATCTGTTAAATATTCTGATATTGGTATGATTACTGTTTTGACACACTGATATGATCTGAAGTTTATTTAAATTAGTCAAACCAGATAAATCTTCATATTCAAATATATGACATAAACAAATTAGTGATACTGGTATTCAAAAAATTAGTATCAAGGAAGGTCTGTGTACTGCTTTTTAAGGATTGTCCAGGAAATTTCGCTCATTGCACAATGACTGGCATTGATCATCTTCATATACATAATCAGACAAAGAAAGTTGCATTATTAATGACATAAAAAAAAATATATTCACTCTGAAAAATACTCAATAATTTGACAAAAATTTGGTTGTATAAGAGGGAATCCAACTTGATTTTGTTATTTAATAGTTGACTCTATCTAATGTTAATTAAGATAGAAGATTAAAGCGTGTTGTTGATAAGAATCAATTAAGCCTGTAGGCATTATTATGATGTATTCTATTGTCTGGTTTCTAGATTAATTTTCAGATTTTACAGTTTGTGTAATGATGTAATGTTAGTAGAAAATATCAAGTCAAATCAACTCATGGCTAATTTGAATGAATTTCAATACTTATTCTGTCTTCTTTTACTCAATTACCCAAGCCTAAGATTTCAAATAACGATGCATAATTAGAACATTTAGGCTGGGATTTTAAAGAGTTTAGCCATTAAACTAAATTGCTTTCATCTATGATATCATTTCATTCAAAATGGTCTGATATTTTTTACTTAAAATAATATAGCCATTTTTACTGCTGTTAAATCAAAACAAAAGTCTGTTACTTACAAAAAAATACAAAAAACAATTTGAAGCAAGTGAAATCACCTGCAAAATTTGTTCAAATTTTGAGGCCATTATTCCAATTCTCATGAAATTGATTGAAAAAATTCAAAAAGTTTTTATATGCTCAGACAATAGAGGTTATATGATGTTTCAATGAAATTAATTACAGATGAAGTAGATAATTAAACAAAAAGTCAGTAAATTAGGACAAACTTTGGGTGACAAAGTGACAAAGTTTCGTTCCATTTTTTTTACTATCTTTTATTATTAATATATAGCCCTCTTGGACTTATGTCAAATCAACTTTTTGACCTAACTCGATGACGTCTGCTTTAACTAATCAAATTTCTACCCTTTTCCAGCACTGGCATTTTGTGACTCAACGTTTATCAGGTTAGGTCAAAAGCTTTTTTTGACCAACTTCAAAGGGCTGTCGTTAGACCCTAACTGAAGTGGCTTTATTAAAGAATAAAAGCTAATAAAAAAAGAATAGGGAACGAAAGTGTGGTCTTATTGACAAACTCTATTTGATTTCAGAAAGTTCCATTAAAAGATTTCTCCAATGAAGTAAGAGCCACCAGAGATGTACAGAAGTTTTTAAAGAAAACAGTACTACTATTAGATTTAGAGAAAACCAACATGGACGAGATCATTGATGAAATTGTAAATAAAATGTTGAAATCTGAATCAACGAAAAATTCCAGTCTGGAACAAACCAAGTCAGCCATCTTTACACATGATTTTGGTATGTTACATTTTTCGTGTCATGATATTTTAGCTTATTTTGGAAATCCAGGGCATTTTACAAAGTTTGTAACTAACAGCTTTTTGCTGCAAAGCAATTTATGAATATCTGATTGGATAATATGATTGCTTTATTTTTGCTTATCAATCAAGTTCTTTGTATTGCATTTACAGTTATCAAATAGTGCTTTGTATCGCCACTCATGCCATGATACAATACGTATTGCGATACAAGGTTCTCGATACAATATGTATTGCGCCACAGGGAAATGGGATGAAATGTAACACTTTATATGCAAAGTTTCAACGTATATTGATTTATAAATCTAAAACTGTGATATTTGGTAATGTTGTTCATATGAGTGGTTATTGCCACTGTCTTATAAATAGTAACCAACAAAATCAGTCAAGTCAGTGAGAAAAATTTGGGATTCCATTCACCCACCTTTTATGGAATGAGAGGTGATGTCAAGTATTGATACATGACTTTGCGATACAATATGTGTTACTATACATCGATACTCCGATATATATAGCTCTAATTTTAACAAGTATGAAATGTATAATGTTTTATATATGGTTCAAGATTCAATTTGTTTGTAGTTTGTTGAAAAAAAAATGTGAAAAGAAACAATCAATATGTGAAAAACTTCAATCTTAAAGCTTTTAAGTATCTTTGAAGATTAATGTCTTCATAAATTCCAAAGAAAAGAATATATTTGGGAACTTTTTGAAAAGGCTCTTTCAGTTTGTATAATACATTAGAGGAAAATTATTGTTTGCCAGTTACAATTGAACTTAACATGTATATAGTAAATTATACTGAAACATCTGCCTATATTCCAGTCTCTGATAGCTATTTTGAAAGTTGTCAGCTGGTGTAGAGACAGAAAAACTAGGCCCAGTTTTATGGGGTTTTTTTTCTCACCTCCAAATGTGCATAACGTTTAAAACTATTTGTTTAAATCGGATCGACAAACCCAAATATCTCTGGAAAGATTGATATTTTTGTTGTTCAGTAATATCATCATAATCCCCCTACACCAATTATGTCACATCTGCGATTCCATCAAGTTGATTTTTTTTCAATCTCCAGTCTGCCATTTACAACTTGTGCGTAGCCAAAAGTTCAAGGCTCATTAAGTCACATGGTACTAACAAAACCAAAGTCACTATGACCAGATACACAATACATTCATGGTAAAGATAATTTAACATTATGTTAGAAAAAAACGCATTTTGCGGAGGTGTGGAAAATCCCCATAAAACTTGATCTATTTTTTCTGACTCTACTCCCGCCAATCATCTATCAGAGGCTAGAATAGAGGCAGATGTTTGGGACTAACAGTAAATCATATGTTTGCACATTCTACTAATATACTGACGTGGTTGTATATGTGGACACATTGGCATTTGGTGCTTCTGGTCTGGTATATTTATGAAAGCGTTTAAATATGCTCATGGTGTTTTCATTTTCAGATTCCAAAATACTCCAGTCACTGGATTTTCCATTAGGTTTGAATGGATGATTCAATAGATTTTTAGTCAGAGTGTTTTATTAGTCTGAAACTTTCAGGAGATTAAGGGATACATGATTGTTACTGTCCAAAGTAAAAGCAGTCTTATTGAAATTAGATTAAACTTTCGTTCTGTTATTTATTAGCTTTTATTTTAAATATTGTCATTTCAGATGCTCTCTTATACGTTCATCAAATTAACCTTTTGACCTCATTCAATGATGTCTGCTTTAACCAATCAAATTTCTACCTTTTCTTTAGTGCTGGCTTTTTGTGATGCAGTGTTTATTGGATTAGGGCAAACAGCAATTTAACGAACATTCAAGAGAGCCGTCGTTAGACACTAACTATAGAGGATGTTCCAGAGGCCAGTCTTTAGACCCTTAATGGAGTGGCTATGTTATAAATAAAAGCTAATAAAAAAAAACAGAACAAAAGTTTGGTCTAATTTTAACTTTTTGGTTTACTCAAAAAACCTTAAACTTTATTTAGTGTTTCATGTTGCCAAATTTTTAAACCTGCAAATCTAAATATTATATTTGCTTTGTTAGTTATTAAAACCTCATTGACTGTTTTCAATCGTGTACCCCTTAATAGATTTGAGTGACTAGAGGTAGTAGAGAGAGTAGAAATTACCTGAATGAAATGAGTTCTAGATGTTTGCTTTTATGTTTATTTTGCTGCAGTTTACTGCTCTCACCACCCATGATCTGACTAAATTCTTCTTTGCATTCAGTTGACAAAAATGCCACAAAGCTAACCATTGGCTTAATGCCCCATTCGAACGACTAATGCATTTTCCGTGGAAAATTTCGATGACCTAAACATGAGTTGCATAACAATTTTGTCAGATCATGGACGTTCACCCACAGAGGAGAAAACATTGCTACATCTAGATTTCCATTTGAATCAGAAAAATTTGTAAAGGTTAAGGACTTAAGATTGTGTGATTTGGACATCATAGAAAAACTAACATGGCCAGGGATTTTTTTGTGTTTAGAAAATCCATCTTCAACATAATACCATAAGTTTGACTACTAATCAACTTTAGATTACTATTTTATCAATATCCCAATGTCTGTAAATGTCAATGTTTTTATATTCTTTTTCCAAGTTTTGTCTGTGACTAGTTCAGTTAGTATTTCTTTGTGATCCCAGTTGATTTTGGTGATTTTAAGATATTTTTCAAGTCAGTGTTTGAATATTTTGAAGTGCTGAATATCATCTGTTGCTTAGTTTACAGGATGCTTTTTTGGAAACTCTGCTCCTGTGACATGTTCCATGCTTTAGATGGTTGTATTTCTCTTTGCCAAGTTGCAATTCTTATTTTGCTACAATGTTAAACACATCATTTAAACATGACGATTGCGTTATTATCTCAGAGCACAATTTCAATTCAATTTATCAGATCAGAGTTATTGTTAAAACCTTTGTATCCAATGCTTCTACTGTCAAACAAAGAATTATAATGAAATTTAAAACTAATTTTGTTATATTTTCTATATTAATTTTACTCTTATATTTCTCAATATAAATGACTGTTTGTTATTTCAGTTCATCAGATGTCCAGGACTCTACAGTCTACCAGTATATCAGAAGGAGGAGGTTTTGATTATGATCAGAATTGGGTCCTCACCATGTAAGTTTCTTACTTTAGTTTCCTTTGTTATAGAAAACATCAATATTTTGCAATATTTTACAAATATATGGGTTTGTCTTTGTGTCTATCTCTGTGAATCCATACCATCTTTAAGTTATTGGGCAGATAAGATTTGTTATTACATGATGAAAAAGAAATGTGGAATTTTAGGAGATACTCAGTGCATTTGATAAAGAACAGTTAAAACTTCCATGACCTTTGCCCTTGTAGTTTGATCAAAGTGAAAAATGAAAAATGAAAAAAGACATGTACTTGCATTTCTACGCTTTCACATTTAGATATCAAACACCAGTTTTTCAAAGTGAGCAAGCAATGACGTGAAGATTCCAACACATTAGCTGATTGAGCTACAACCAGCCCCCATTTCTCATGATAAAGATTTGACTATCAACATGATTTGAAATGTAATGTGATTGTATTATAGGTGTAGTGTACCATCAGTTCAGACAAGACATGTTGGAATAGCTAGACTATCATCACCAGCCAATCTCGGTAATACAGCACAAGAAGTATATTTTGTCATCGTTATTTTAACACCAACAAAAGAGGTAGGTTCAGAATTTATTTTGAAAAGAATATATAACAGGGCCCCATTTCATAAGGGGGGGGAACATGATCGGTGAGTTTTGAGCATTCGGAATTCATGGAATCAACCAGAATTTCATTAAAACAATTTTTAAGAAGGTTCTGACTGTGTTCCACCTGTGCCGAAAAAAGTAGGAGTAGATGGCTGGTGAAGCGATTAAAAGTGTTAATTTTGAATGTTGACATATCAGGTTTCGTACCATTTGATTGAAGCCAGAATCAGACCAGACGGAGCCTGTTCAGAACTAGCCAATTGAGCAATATCAAGTTGTCTTATTATGTAAATTTTGAATTTTTACATGTCAGCTGTACTGGCTATTAGAGCTCCATCTCATCTATCTGTGGTTCTTTTTAGAATTAAGATATGATTTCTGGATTCAATCTTTTTGTTGACAGTACATTTTTGTGAGTTGAAGATGACCCAGATTTCATATTATGATTTGAAAAGTGACATGGATGGCTGAAATTGAGCTTTGTTGCAGGAACAAATTATCATGTTAGGCACTTATATAGAATTTTGAAAATAGTCAGAATTGTCAAAACATATTTATCATATTAATATTATTTCAGAAAGGAACAAAGAATGAGTTAGAAATAGGTAGAACATTTGCTACATTATTTGCTGATTCCAATTTGAGACTGCGTCTACTCAATGCTAATACTGAGGCTGAATTCAATCAGGTATTGGAACAACAAACACATGAGTTATCACTGAGACAGAGGCAGACGGATGAAAAAATACCGGTTTTTGATGATGAAGATGAAGGGGTAAGATTTTTTTGATAGGATTTTATCAATTGATGGTTTTATAAGATCACATTTTATTATCCTGTGTATCTCTCCAGAAGTTAAATCTGTTAGTTGCTATTGTATTGGTGACATGCTCTTCCCTTTGCATTATATCCAATTTATTGCAATTTTTCTGGGTGTTCAATAATATAAAAATAAAAAGGCATTTACTTAAGTCAGAAATAGGTTCATTACACCAACTAAGATTTAGTCCATGGTGACAAACATAGATATTATGTATAAAATGGATGCAAACAAACGAAAAGTTTCTGTATAATGTACACAAAATTTTCGATTTTAATATATAATCAAGCACATGTGTTCTCTAATTTCAGAAATTAAAATGTGGGTTTTTAAAGGGATTACGAGCTGATTTAAAACGTAGATTACCACATTATTGGTCTGACTATAAAGATGGTAAGCTCTTATTCACAAATATCCTTATCAGAATGCTTATGCAGTTGTCCAAGCAAATTTTTCGAGTGGCTGTGTCCAATCAAGAGCAGAGAAGAATTAACACTTATTTCATTCCAAGATAACAATAAATTCTTTTTTATTTGGGTTCTGTTTGAATATTTCTAAAAGATAACCTATAAAATTTGAATAAAATTATATTCTATTATTGTAGGTGTTGTTGGACCTAGAACTATACAGAAGACAATATCCACTACTTTCTTCCTTTATTTTGCTTGTGTTTTACCATGTATTGCATTTGGTGTACTTAATGCTTATAATACTCACAATATTCTTAGTAAGTTTATATTTTAATTGAAAACAAGTCTTTAATTTAAATTTTGGGGAGCAAGTTATTGATCATTGTATAGAAACAGCAACAAAAACACCACTCTCTACTGTCTGCCCTAGCTAATCTGTATAACAGAAAGAACCAACTTCGGTCCTTGGCCAAACCCCTTAGTTTTTTTTACCTGATCTACTGGACCTATTTAGTTAAGAGATTGTTGACTTTCTCCAGGTCACCAGACTTTCACAGGGATTCGAGGAAAAGTTGCTTTTCCTTACCTGATGTCCCTTTAAATCTAAACATCAACAAAAAACGTTTAATCAATGAAAATTGTTTTTATTGTTATAGCTGTTGAGAAGGTGCTCTATGCTCAAACGTTTGGTGGATTAGTATTTGCTGTGTTTGGTGGTACTCCACAAATAGTACTATTAACAACTGCTCCATTGGCTTTATATACTAAAAGTAAGTACTGATAATTGTATAGACTGTTTGCTTTATAAAAAGGAACCTGACAGCAAGATGGCACTTGGAATACCTCCTCTAAAGCCTAATGCTTAAAATTCTATTGCAAATGTGTATTTAATGGACAAATGAATTCAAACAAAAATGTTTGAAAGTGCAGTGAAAAGATTGTTTGGAATCTCAGCACATGATGACAATTTCTAGAAGAAAGAAGGAAAGAAAAAACTATATTTGACAAGGATAACAACTGAGCTTCACAGGTCACGGGACTTTCACATGCCGATCGAGATCGGAACCCACAGCGGCCATTTGCTTGAGATAAGAACCCTATATCAGTAGTTTCTCATGGTCTGAATGTTAGACACAAACATATATTGGACCTTATTCTGACCCATGTAAAATAAAGAGTTCATTATTATCTATTATTATGAATTTGATGTCTGAAATCACATTTCGTCTAGCCAGTTAGTTATAATTATTATTCCTCAATACATTTCAGTTATTTACAGTATTTGTGAAGATTTTGATATTAATTTTCAAGCCATGTTTACTTGTGTTGGTTTATGGAATTCATTCTTCCTTATCATTTATTCCTTCTTTGATCTGAGTATATTGATGCAGTTCTCTACCAGGTAGGCCCAGGCTGAATATTAGACAGGCTTATTACACTTCAGTGAAATTGACTTAATTCAGATAAAAATTATGCATTCATTTTAACGTTTGACTAAATAGTTTGAGAGCAAACTGATTTTTGTAAAAAATGACTCTTTAATCAGATTGTTCTTCAAGATCTGTGAGACTATAATACTATAATAGATTTGTTGCAGACTTAACCCTACCACTTTTACGTGTGATGGGCAAGCCTCCATAATTATTAAACTCAAGCTTAAGCTGACAATGATATTGTCAGACCTGTTACTGAGTGCTGAGGGTGCTAGAATTCAAATTATATAAGTTTTGAATCTCAAGACTCTATAGAAAAGTCAACTTCTTCAATATGATTGTGTTTTTATGGCCAGGCTTACTTAAGATTGTAGTCATAGAATCAGCTTAAAATTGCTTATGATCAGATAGGTTAAATACATTTATTTAATTTCAGATCATCTGAAGAAATATTTGCCTTATTTATCAGTATTGCCTTTGCTGTTGATGCCTTTAAAAATACTGCTCTTAGTAAGTCATCTTTATTTGTTTAAAACTATTATTGAGTAGCTTTCTATTCAGTCAATAGATTTCTCAAATAATTTCTCATGTGCAATTTTATGTAATATGAATGAATGAGACTTGAAATGTATCAGCAAGGAAAGTGATTCATTCCAACTTACATTAAAGGGACAGATGCAGCATTTTCGGGGCTTGATTTGGGTCTTAAATATATGTAAATAGTATTCAGAAATACAAAAACTGTACGAAAATACCATAATTCCTACAAATAAACCTCAAACAAGAGACTCCTGGTTTACTCCCTGAAATGCCGCACCTGTGCCTTTAAGGAATAGTACGCTCACTCTCCATTGGTTTGTTGAGTTTTATATAATTTATCATACTTTGATTTTAGATTTTGAAGATAATTATTATACACCAGCATGTAGTGGTGTGAGTGATGTTATTAATAATACAGTTGGCATGGTAACCAATACATCTGCTAATTCATCAGACACAGCAACTGATGTTTGTGGTAGAGATATTAGTATGTTGTATCTATTCTTACTACTAGGAACATTATGGGTTGGTGTGGTACTCTTTAACTTCACTAAAACGTGAGTATATGGATTTTCATTGATCCAATATTGATTAAGACTTCTTTGAATACTATTCAGATTTTTTGTGGGGAATCCCCTTAGACCCTCCATAGAAGGCTCACACCTATTGCGCTTTCTCATTTGGAATCTGAACAGTTTTAGAAAGATGGTGATGCCACTGTTTAGACATGAAAGTTCCTCTTCATTTCATTACTACTCGATTTTCATTAATCTAAGAAAAAATGTAGAATAATATTACATCTCTATTTCAGACCATATTTAAACAGTGCTAAACGTGAACTACTAGCTGATTATTCTCTTCCAGTATCAGTAGTTATTATGTCTTTCTTTGGTGCTTATGTTTTTAGAGAAGTCAACAGTAAGTTTATGTAGATTTCAATGTAAACTGGAGCCTAGGTGGCTCAGTTTGTTTAATGTTTGTTCTCTAACATAGAAGACCAAGGTTCATTAGGAATCAGTTTCTTGTGCCATTGAAGCATATCATAGGGTCTCTAGTCATTGGAATGAATAAACCAAGACCATGTATACTACAGATTGCGCATGGTAAAAATCCCAGTTGGAAAGATTGTCCTATTGTTGCTTTTTGTTTGATAATGAGAATTTCAATGTTTTTCAGTGGGGAAAGCCTTTGATGCTACAAGACAGACTGGTATCTTTCAACTGATAGATCTATCTAGTTTATCTGTTGGAGCTATTTTTGGTGCTATGGGACTTGGTTTTTGTTTATCTTTGTTGTTTTTTATGGATCAAAACATATCTGCTGCTCTAGTTAATGCTCCTCAAAACAAGTAATTAGGATTTATTATTTGTAATAATCAATTCATTTTGCCAGTTATGTCTGACTAGAAAATAGAATATAGTAGTTGAAATGAGCTTAAAGTTCTTGTTTGCATTAAGAGTACTGTAACAACCACAATTGCAAATGGCACCAACAATAATGCCATATATTGTAGATCCAAGAATTCCTACTCAGTCCAATGGCAATGGCAAGCATATCCAGTTTGTTTTTCCATATGACTGATAGACCATTTCTATTTTTAGAATGAAGAAGGGTACAGCCTACCACTGGGATCTATTGGTCATATCATTGGTAAATGGTTTACACTCCATAATATGTTTCCCATGGGTACACGCTGCTTTACCTCATTCCCCACTTCATGTTCGAGCTTTAGCTGATGTTGAAGAAAGAGTTGATCAGGGCCATATCTACTCCATGTAAGTTCTTTCATGATTTTGTTTCTTGGAATATAGTATTGTCCAAATTTTGCCTCTAAAAATATTTCACTTTTGATTGATGCTTCAGATTTAATCAATCAAAACTATGATGCATATTTTGTAAAATAAATTCATAGAAATTTCTACTTTTGTTTCTGATTACTAGTCTGTTGAAGGGATGAGTTCTCCATGATGGCTAGTATTCATTCAAAGTATGAACGCCACACTGTCAGGCCCACCACCTCTCACAGGGAGACAGGAAGACAACTTAATAAAAACATGATATCTTAAAGACCACAATATTACAATATACCAGCAGCTACACCATGATATTCCAATGACATCACAGGCTAATGGAATCTTTCTCTTTTTTCAGAATTGTTCGTGTACGAGAAACAAGATTAACTGCGATATTCTCACATATTTTAATTGGTTGTAGTTTATTTTTTATGCAAGTGTTAGCCTATATTCCTACACCTGTATTATATGGACTATTTCTTTATGTAGCAGTCACATCATTATATGGTAATCAGTTCTTTGAAAGAGTTCAGTTATTTTTTACAGAGCAGGTAAGAATTTTCTTGAAGATCTGAAAATCCTGGCATTGAACAAGATTTTCCACCCTGTCAATTATGCATATGGGAGGGGCTTACATGGAAGAAGCATCAAGACTTTCAGATGAGATGATAAATTGACACTCTGTATACTACAGGCTGTACAGTTGCAAAGTTGGCTTATTCTTCTGTACCAGCAGAGTTTCCCTCATTGCACACCTTACAGCAACACCAAAGTCCATTCAATTCATTGTATTTATTAATGGCTAGGGGTGAGTTGAATCTCATGATAAAATATTAAATATTTTCAGGCTGCCTATCCACCAAACCATTATATTCGTCGAGTTCCACAGAGAAAGATGCACACATTTACATTAATACAATTAGTTCAACTATTGGTGTTATGTGGATTCGGGTTTGCTCCTTATCCCTATCTCAAAATGTTTTTCCCTGTTTTAATTTTTGCTTTGATACCTATAAGGTAATTGTTTTTATGACTGGCTTTTTAAATCAGAATCCCTACTTCCATTTTATTGTTTAAATATTGACTAATTTTGATTGATCCCTATCAAGATAGTACCTTCATATTTTTTTTTAACTCGATTTCCCTTGTCAGTGATGTAGGTCAGGGGCTGATAGAGACAAAACAGTGTTATTCAAATGGGACAAACCCTGTGCATGTTGAAGATCCCTGGATAGTTGGAAATCAAAAAAGGGAAGGCTAATGCTGCTGTCTTGGCAGAATTTCTCTCATTGCACATTGCATGATGTTGCCTGTCTTTATTAGCTAAATTAGTGCAGAAAACTAGGACTCTAAGCACCATTCCACTCCATTTCGTGTTCATTCTGAATGTGTCCTTTATTTTGACATGTATTTTTCAGACATAAATTGATTCCTAAACTGATTGATACCAAGTTTCTGAAGGCAATGGATGGTCATTAAATGATGGAGATGAAGATGATGATGATATGTTGATGATGATGTTGAAGTATGAATGAAGAATGTGTGTGGGGATGGAATTGTTTACCATTTTAAAATTCATTAAAAGTTAATGGTTTCTATGACTGATGAAGATGGCATTTATTTTATCCCATGTTTTAAAAAAAAAGTTATAGAACTTTACAGAGTGCAATGTCTAATTTTTTCAGTTCTTTTAACTAATTTTACTCCTTTTTAGGCTAAAATTTGGCAAATTCTTGCAATAACGCAGAAATGAGAAGTCACCTTTTTATTTCCGATTTGTTTCATTTTTGATCGATTCAGTTTGGTGCTTTTATTGTTCAATGTTTTTAATCCTTGAAATAGAATCGATCTTCTTGTTAATCCTTAATATGTTGAATGATGGAAACTGAAATGTTTTAATGCTCATGAGAATATGTCTTTTTTTCTTGGGTTGTTTTAAGTGCTTTTCATTTTAACTAATAACAAATAAAAAACAAATAAAAAAATATGATTGTGCTTGAATTAAGCTGAATTGTATTTGGTAGCAATAATGCATACAGAAACTACGTATGGTTCTTACATGGAAATAAATAGCTTTAAATGTGATTTGATGGCTTTATTGAAATATTTTAATCTTCTAATAAATTTGAGATTCAAAATGGCTGTGAACTATGTTTGTGTGTGTTATTTCCATGTAAAAACCACATGTAGTTTCCTCTGAGCATTAATGGTGAAAACTCAAAATAAATTTGTGTTGATTATATTTTCATAGTGCTTTTGTTTAAATTCATTATTTTAAAAACAATTCTTGTATTGATTTGTTCATGCATACATGATTCTTTTAATTGTCAGAAAAGTTTTGACTTTGTAGAGTCTCACCAACAGTGATCAAAAGTGAATGAAAATTCTTTTAAAATTTTAGTTTGATTTTTTAAACAAAAATTGTATTTTTTTTTATTCAGCCTCAAAAATAAAAATGCCACAAAAATGTCATTAATACATTCCTTTAGAATATAACATCACTAAGATGATAATTGGTGAATTACAGGAACATTTGTTTAAATTATGCAATATATAGTATTAAAGCTAAGGTGAAGTTTGAAAAGAGAAGATAGTAACAAGAGGTATCTCAACCCTGCATAGAAATTTTCTTAATTAATCCTAATTCATAATTAACTTGCGGGTTGTAAAAAAAATGATTTACTACTCCCTCTAAACTGAGCAAACTTTATGCAGATTTTGTGTCTTGAACACAGAGAAATTTTTTCCAGTGACCATTGTTCTTTTAAATCCACATATCAGTATATTGTACTTAAACTACTCTACGCCATAAACAAACTTTTTAATTCATTGTTATTACCTCTTATAACACTTCACGTTAGCTTTAAAATCTATTAGATTTATTACTTATTATGCCTACTTTTAAATATTAGTAGATTAGTCTGAATCTCATTATTATTGTACATATCTCTTCTGTGATACATCAAACTCATATTTTATACTTATTATTTTAGCTATATCAAAACAATATCAGGCCTTTCCAGTGAAGTACTGTGTGAATCAATTGTTAGCAATGCAAAGTGAAATTTACTTAGATACCCTTAAAATGTAACATTTGAGTAAAATATCTATGTAAACATTATTCATTTACCAAATGGTAAATAATATTTACAAAGTAGTTAATATTTTACAATATTCACTAAATTGTAAATAATATTTACGTTGTAAATGATTTTAACAAAATAGTTAATAATATTTACAAAGTAGTAAATAATATTTATAAGACCATAAATCATTTTATATGATTATTTTTAAGATTATAAAAATGTTCGAGAAATTATGAATATTATTTACAAGATTCTAACAAAATATTAACAAAATGATAGAATTTCTAATTTGTTAATAAATCAGAAGTTATGTTTGTACTAGTCCTATTTTATTTCTTACATAATTACATGAAATATTTAATTTGCATACAAAATTATCATATGAATATTTAAAATTGATTAGTGTTCAATGTTTCAATAATGAATGTTTTAACAATAAAATCTATCCTGTTTTATATGTGAATGAAGTATTTTGAACGTTTGTATCCTTTTGCTGAGGTCAATATTTGTGTAGGGTTAATTTTGATGGTACTTGGTTCTACCATATGTTGAGAAGTATTCCCTATAGATGTCTGTTCAATTTGATATTGCATTATGCTGTATTTGTATTCCTTTGGCAGGATGAAATTTTAAAGCATTATTTTTGTTGTGTGATCATACTTAGTTCATGTCTGTGATTTTCATCCAGGTGCCCAATCTAATTGGAAAGCTTCAAGGATTCCACGAAATACAAATGGATAACTTCAAGATATTTTGGCCAAACAAATGCAAAACAAAAAAATTTTTCATTCATATGATTTAATTTATTAATAGTAAAAATAAATAATCTCCATTATCGAATAATTATAATACCTAAACCATATCTCAAATATTATTATTCTTATTAGTCATCAAAATAACCAATTTGCCATCTTCAATAAAAAAAAGAATAAAAGGTAGACACTTAAAATACAAAAATAATATAATCACTCTGAGTTATTAAAGTAACTTACTGGTATAAGAAATATATTAATGAAATAAAATGCCATTAACAATATATACAAATGAATATTCATGATGTTTATGAACAAAATGTACATAACACTACGTTTGTAAAGTAAAAGTAAAAATTATTTTCAAACATGATTACAGATGTGAAATAACAAATCTCATAGACTAGGAATATACTGAATTGATTTAAAAGTATAGTTACAATAATAAAATATTCTCACTGTTAAAATAGTGCTCAATACATCACCATCAATACATCGATATAGAAATATTAAAAAAAATATAGTTAAATGTTGAACATATATTGTGAATGGTGAATGTAGATTTAAAGATGTGTTTCCTTATTTTTTGGTCTCAAATTAAGCAAACTATTGATTAATTGGTGTTTCTAATGAATTGTCATGTATTTTTAATCATATTATTATGTTATTATATATAATTAAGATTTTTAACCAATCATAAAAGTCCATGCATTTACAGTCTGGATAAACAAAAAAAGACCTTTCTTGATCGGATCACTCATTGGAATTCTGATGGTAATTCTCTTCTAATTAGCCGATTATGAATTTATTATGGACATGTGAGACATAATGACATAAATGAAAATACCGTAAGAGAACCCTCTTACAGGGACAGTTTCGCCATCCAGTGAAAGTGAAATAAATAGAGTTATTTTTTGAAGGAATTGTGCAATTATTGTACATTTCTAGTACTTCTGAAGACTATTTACATATACTCAAGATCCAAATCAACCTAAAAAAAAAAGACAAACCTGTCCCCTTTAATCCCCCTTGGTTGGTATCAGATCTTACTTTGGTCTGTAGCACTCTAGTTTACTAATCATAATGGTCAAAATATTCTCTGAGGAAAAGGAAATGCAGAAAATTAAATTCAGACTGGTTAACTTCTTCAATGCCTTCAGTGATCCAAAATACAGCTTACCAAATGATGTTTCCATTACTAAAGTTTACATTTAAATTGAGATAATGGTCCTTGATATTTTCTGCAAAACAAAAAGCAGACATACCTTGTACATAGAACAATTATTGTTCAACAATACTTTCAATATGCAAGATCAAGGGCAGTAAATCTGCATAAATTTGCAAATTCTTATTTTTTTGGTCATAACAAAGTATATGAAAATCATGAAAATAAAAGGAGGTATAACATTCTTATTTTTCAGGGACAAAGACTCTAGAGATGAGTGGACATGAGTGCCAACAATATATGTTAACACCAGAGGCATTTGTGCCCCTGAAGAGATGGTTTGCTCCCCCCATTCTACCCCCACTTAATTTTTAACAAATTTTAAAATATGATTTTCATACATTTTTGCCCTAAAAAATGTGTCGAAATGCACCAATTTAATTTAAGTTCTGGACAATTTTCTAGAGAGACTATGAAGCTTTTTCAGTGTTGTAGCATTTTGAATTCAGCCTCGACTACCCCATATTTGTACCCCCAGTCTCAGGATGCTGGTGTCTCAACTGGTTTACACTGAAAGTGAAAGATTACCTGAGATTACAGTCTGCTACTTGTAATATTAACCGGGCAGCTTGATATTTAGGTTGGTCTGGTTTCCATTCGTGTAGATATATAACATGTTTTATACCACATTGTGCTATGAGTTTAGAACATTCATTACAAGGATTATGAGTAATATATATCTTATAACCAGTTAAATCTTTTACTTTACTATTCACTATAGCTGTTACTTCTGCATGGCACACTGAAATACCAATGCAGTCATTAGCTATAAAAGACTCTCCTTAGGGATACCGAGTTGTCTAACCAACAGTACAATCGATCAAGATCCAGATCCTACCACCAACCTACCAATAACTACCTAATCCGTAATATTAGTTAGTTGAAGGAGTCTTGACCTCATTTTCATCTATGCCAAGATCACAATCACATCGTAGAGTAGTATTAGGTGTCTCCGAATTTTACCCTGTAACCCTCTGAAAATTCTAGGTACCATTTTGGCCTATGCCAAGACCAACCTTAGTTGCAAGAATCAATAATGTGGTTTAATAAATGTAGGGTCAATAATTAGGCAATATAAGATGTGGAATCTCTGAAAGAGAGACCGAATTGACATACCCTGTCAGTGTCACAGAGAGGCATTTGGTGTTCCTGAAAGGTCAGCATGCCCTCGCACTAATTTCAGTTGAAGTCAGACTTATCACAGCAAAATGTTTTTCCTGAACTTCTATATCAAGGGATGATGCTGTTTTCTGCCTCGATAATCAAGTTCAGAAAAAGACACCATCTACATACCAATGAATCTTTTATTGTCTATGTTATTATTAGATTTTTCAGGCCAAGGTAAACTAGCTCCACCTGGTGTCTTATCATTAAAACCTGTACTAACTAGTTTATCATTTCTATCTGCAATACATGATCCAACCTAAAACATATACGTAAATAATACATTATATATTTAACAATCTTAACAACACCATAAAATGCTTTAAGTATGGCCTTTTGCTCTGTCTACTAAGTACCCCTCAACAGTAAAGTTGTAAATTGAAAAAAAATGTAGGCTTAATGCAGCTGTTCAGGCAAACTTTCCATCAATGCACACTTCATAGCGTTTCCGGCGTATCCATTAGCCTGTAGCCAGACTTGATTGTCCAGAGGGGCAAGTAATTAGCTGATAGTTAGAATTTTTTTAGGGGGAGCCCCCCTCCATCTATGGACCTGTTTATTGCACCTACTGCACACAGAGTAGAAATCGGGTCCCTGATTGATTTGAGTTCATCTAATGATGCTGACGAATTTTCTGATACACATTTCTCCTAAGGACTAAAAGATAAGGATACATTCCAAAATGGATGTATGATGAGCAGAGTACACATCAATGTGTTCAGCTGTTCAAAATAATAGCATGTATACCTTAAGAACTGGATCTAAACTTCTCTTGGCAGTTAAAACAGCAATAGACATAAAATAATCATCATTACTCTGTACTTTATAAAACCCATCTCCTTCTCTGAGTATCTGTCAATGTTCAAAAGTATTAGAGAGGTGGCTGCCGATAAAGGAGAATGTCATCAAGTGTTTTTCTTGAGAATGAGCATCTTATGAGTGCAAACCATTTCAGAGTAGTTCAAACCGGCCCGTAACTAAATATATTGCCCCCCCCCCCCCTTTCCCCTTTGCAAAATTAGAACAAATTCTCAATTGAAGCTTAATCCAGACCCTATCAGCTATTTTGCCCCCCATGCAAATGCGACCGCCCCTATTGGCATTGGCACATTGGGCTGGTTACGGGCAAACCATTAGGATTAGGTCTTCAGCTCATATTATACTTTAAGCCAATTTAAAAGTAGGTCTACCGAAAGGGGTACAACTTTGTGGGTCTTTTTTTTCGACAATATTCAAATTAAAAATCCCACATTGTTTATACATTGAATCTCTCGTTTAAAGAATGCAAAATGCGTGAAATTTGAATGCCATCCTGTTTCTTTCATGATACAAGAATAGCATGGTTTCCCATTGCGATTCATCTAAGCACGTGAAGTCTATTTTTAGACATTATGTGAATAACCCTTCACATGACTCTACGTCATCAACATGGCGCCCACAGAGGTAAATATCACGACTTCTGCATAAAACCTTTCAAATATTTCAGTTATAGACCCAGTCATAATGAAAATATTCTGATGGAAATGTGAACAATGACGAAATTTACCTTTTCATCCATTTTTTTAGTTATGTAGCATGTTCACTCAATTGTTAGGCTTTCTTATAATGTGCACTTCTTTAAAAACGAAAACGAATGTTCACCAGACATTATTTTAGACATAATCATCCAGCCGTCCAAGTAATATAGGCCTACTACTTGTAAAAAAAAGTCAAGATGATCGTGTATTATTTACTCTAGTGCATTAATTTATCAATGAACCATTTTGTGTGTAGTTAGTATGGTTTGAATCAGATAATTCATAATCAATATTTCTTATACATACATACTATAATGGATCATTTATAAAGGGACATACGTCAAAGGTTACATAACCTTTTAAAGTTCCCTATGAATTTTGCATGATGTTAGAAATCAGAAAACGACTGTAAGGATTTGAGTAAAATAAACGCCTAATTGTAGAGAAATATGTCTCCTACATTTTCTAATGTTTTCAACTAATATAACGAACCATTATAAAGCCAATAAGCGAAACTAGGTCTCTCAGTTTTTATATGCCCACATCTCTCTATGTGGACGTCTATTGTCGGAATCAAATGAAATTCGGTATGTGTATACATAATCATAAAACGAAGATCAAGTTCGAATTTGAGCTATTTTCGATTGTTAGAAGAAGAGTTATTGCCCTTGCCCCAAAATCTTGAATATGCTATTACTCCCCCCGATTTTGATGAAACTTAAAATGGATGTTATTGGACCTAAATCGAAAGGTTTGAGAAAGTTTAGTTTACTTCTAATTAAATTTAATGCTTTTTCAAGATTTAGTCCTCTTATGTCAGTTTTGAGGAGTTATTGCCCTTTAACCTCTATACAGTAAATGAATTTTCTGGGAGGGAAGCATGTCTATTTCAAATGTAAAATCACTAACCTTATATTTCTATTGACGAGAAGACATTCTAAGACAAATGGCATACAGTTGAAAATTGTATTTTGAATAAATTTATTTATGAAATGAGAGAAACATTCAATTCTAAATTGGGAGTTGACTGAACCAAATTTCAAAATAGGGCCTACAAAACATTTTAACTCTAGACTAACTTTAAGACTAAGTGACTAGCCAGACGAGCACCAAACCACAACTCTGACAAATTGTTGACGTATAAACATTACCACAATATCACCCCTCATAGCTGTTTAAATATTTTGCAAGGAACATGAAGCCTTTGATAGTCTGGCACTCAGCACTGTTTCTAGAAGAATTTTTGGATAAAGGATTTCTTATATTAAAAAAATTTAAGATTAATGTCAATTTTTTATGAGAACCATTTGTTATTTTTGATATTATTTTTATCTTGGACTTTTTAACACTGTAACCAAGAAGGTATGTGAAAATTATCACAACCATCAGATTATATTTACACCATGACCACTATTAAATAATAATATATTATTTTATCTTTAGGACTACAGAGCTAATGTAGAACAGGCTGCCCAAGCAGCAGAAGAATTTTATCAGTTATATTACGAACACTTTGATAAGAAGCGACATGTAAGTATAAGCTTATATAATTTGTATTGTCGGAGAGGACACTTTCTCTTTATATCTACTTGAGGATCTGCATTTCAAAGAGTTTGTGGATGATGCAGCAAGCATGGGTGTCAAGGTGTGTCTTGGTTACTTGGTTTGCTGCTTCAGGAAAAATAACATTAAAGATTTTGCTTTTGGTTGTAAGTGTAAAGGTGTAGTATAAGTCATCATGAAATTTCCTCAGTTTTTGTTTTATTTACTAAAATAATATATTATAGAGTCTTTAAATGGCATTTAGCAATTGTGAGTACGATATATAGACTGGTTAAAGTCACTTTAACCAGTGATTGTTGTTCCATAAAGCTGTGTCTATATATAATATATTATAGAGTGTTGTCGTTTTCTATATATTTGATTTCCCAGCTGAAAAAACACATTTATTATGAATTTTTGTCACATACTTCAAAAAAAAATAAAAGGTTTTTTTAATTAGGGAAAAATGTTTCATGAAACAAAATTAATATTTAATAGTTATAAATTCAAAACAGATAAGCCTGATAATTATAATTGATATACTGGTAATATTGGATTAAGCTTTAAAGCTCATTACAGTATCTTTATAGTGCTTTTAACAATTTTGCTTAAATCGCTTTATACATTCAATATAATAGAAATAAAAATCGCTCCTTTTTAGCGAGTTCGCTTACTTACTTACTCATTCTTTATCACCTCTGTCATTTTCAATCATTGTCATCAGCATCAACAACTGCAAATCAACATCATGATCGACTGCCCTAAATTATTCCTTTGCTGTCTTTGTTTTTAACCGTGTCATCATTAATTACAATCGTTCATCAATAATATCATATCCAAAATTATGCACAATGACTTTGTCTTCGTATCATCATCATCATCATCATCATCATCATCATCATCAAAAACAACTGCAAAATCATCAATTGCAAATAATCTGCATAATTACTACTTCCCCTAAATCATTCATGTTGGGTTATCATCGTCATCATCATAGTCATCATCTTCATCATCATTATTCATGACTTCAACATTGACATCATCGTCATTAGTTAATGATTGACAAGTTTCTCCTTTCCTTATTAGGAATGGTGAAACGTAAGAGTTAACAAAACATCACATCCAATATGGAAGTTGAAGATAATAACAATATGGCCACGTCTGCTACTAACTTACCAACACACGCTACTCAAGATGATGTCATCAATGTATTTTATCATGCTCTGTTAGAAAATGATATGGCAGTAGTCAAAGATGTTGTTAAAAATCAAAATGTCAATGTGAATATGATTTTAAAAGATGAAAGCTATATTCAACCATGGCATAGAGGATGTGGTGCTATTCATATTGTGACCAGACGGGCAATTGTAGGCTCTTTAGCATTCCTAGTTGAGTTGGGTGGCAGAGTGAATCTTGAAAATAAACATGGTGACACCCCACTTCATATTGCTAGTAAATATGGTTTAGCTGATTGTGTGGAATATTTAATACAATGTGATAGTACTCTAGTTGATCAACCTAATTCACAAGGATTAACTCCCTTGATTAAGGCTGTTTTCAAATCAGAACATGCATTCCGTGGCCAGTTCAAGAAAACCATCAAACTTCTGTTACAAGCAGGAGCCAACCCAAATATTTGTCCAGCATCTAAAATAACACCTTTGCATTTGGCTGCAAGCAAAGCTGACGAAAGATTGATTCAACTGTTACTTTCTTATGGTGCTAACGTGAATGCAATCTGTTCACAAGGAACTAGTCCTTTGTTGAAAGCTTTACTTCTGCGACATCAAAAATCAACTTGTGTAAAAACTCTGTTGGATGCTGGTGCAGACGTCAATATTTCTACAGTGGCTGGTAGATCAGCACTTCATCTAGCTGTAGCAAAATGTGAAAATGAATGTGTACACAATATTCTAGAAGTTGGTGCTGATCCAAATGCACAAGATAAATACGGAAAGACTCCATTGTGGATTGCTGTTAATGAAAATAATATTGAAATTGTACCCTTACTAATTCAACATGGCGGTAAGGTGAACTATCATTTACCTGTAGGGAATATTTCACTTCTTTCTCTGGCTATTACAGAAAATCTTTTTGATATGACAGAGTTGCTTCTTAAACTTGGTGCCTCCGTTCTTACAGAATCTTCCATGGGAGCAACGCCATTGTACTATGCTGTACAAAATCAAAATTTGAAAATGGTCAAAATGTTAGTGAGTGAAAACTGTGAATTGAATGTTGTTAGCAATGCTCATCATTCCCTTAATCCGCAAACACCAATACAAGTTGCTATAGAACTAGCCAACCTAGACATGATCAAATTACTTCTGGAAGCTGGGTGTGCAATGAAGCGAACTTGGGTCAAATCCATAATTCCAGCATTACAAACTTTAAATCCCACCTTGGGACGTGAAATTATAGCATTTTTACAGGAATACACAGGACAGGTGCAAAGTTTGAAATTTTTGTGTCGAAATAAAGTAAGAAGAATTATGAAAGAGAATATCAAATCTAAGATAGAATATTTGATATCTGAATACTATATTCCATCTAAACTTGGAGAATATATACTTCTTACATATCTTACGTGATTGCAGTACCAAACTTTCTTTGAAAGTGATACTACGTCTTAGAATGCACATAAAATTTAAAATCTCAAGAATGGTCAATAAGAGTATATATTCATCAGTGAACTTACCTGGTGTCATAAAGTTACAACGGAATCCCTGTAAAATCTGGAAAATTGGAAAATTCATAAAACTAAGTAATTGGTTGATTTGGCCCCATGAATAAGCATAGAGACAAATTTGTTAAATTCTGTTATAATATTATTATTTTTAATTTTCTATACAAATGTTCAGCATTAATTTAATTGTTTCTTGCCATTCTACAAATTGATTTTGTTAAACACATTAATCCATTATATTAGTAGTAAAACATTGACAGTATGTTTGTTGTAGATTGGTTGATCCCATTAAAGGGATTGAAAAGAGTTTTTATAAAATTTTTATGTGTATCGGGTACACTATTAGTATCAATCTGCACTTATTTATACCAATCATTTAGTCAAGAAAATCTAAATTAATTGTTTTATTGAGCTCAATTTCAGCTGTGAGTATCATTAGAAAATCTAATGTCTTGTTTGTAATTTTACAAAAACATAACAAGAGCGAAATTGACAACAGTTTCAATATGTTTTGAATAATTTTGGGCCATTATCAAAAGATTTTCTTGTTTATCACATCTATCAGTTTTCTTTAGCAGTATTGTAAACATTTATGGAATGTGATAAACATGGTATATAGTTGCTATGGAAACAAGTGTTACTAGTACAGTAATAATAGCAGACAGGATATATTATTGTCATTCCCCTCTTATCTTTTTCTTAAAATAAATGCAATAAGTGTTAGATTTTCATTCTGGAAAGCACTCAAGGTAGCTGAATAAGCTTTATAAGCTGGGTAGACATCAAATAGACATAGATATGATGATATGACAGTTCTGTAGATTCCATGATTATGTGATACTGTTCTTATACCATTCCTGTTATATATACATATTTCTTATTAAATTGTTTTATTTATGAATTATTGTAAATGGAAATGAAAAAAAAAGAAATGAATAGAGTTTTGTATCCTACTTTTCTGCACCATGTGAGATAATGAAGACAGGCAATGCCATGCAGAGTGCAATGAGGGAATTTTTGCCAGGATTAGCCAGCCCTTGTTCGATTTCTAACTGTTAAGGGATCTTTAACGTGCACAGCCTGTAGCACACAGGGCCTCGGTTTATTGTTCCATCTGAACGACTAATTGCTTTATCCATGTCAGCCCCTCTTACCTGCATCAATGCATCACTGACAGGCAGAAACTGGGTTGAAAAATTTGAAGGTATTATCTCAACGTATGCTGGGATTGAACCCTGGACCTGCAGGTTAGCAAGCAAGTGTCTAACTCACTGAGCCCTGGGTAAATGGAAAAAAAGGTCTATTAGGCCATTGGATAAGTGAATCAGAGGCCTTCTCACTGACATATAGCCCTAGGGTTCAAGATAAAAACCTATGGATTATTCTATCTGTGATGGAGTGGCATTGAATGTTTTTGGATGGGTCAAATTATAAGAGTAGGATAAAAAGCTTCTCAAGAGATATAAGCAAAATTACAAACAAACGAGACAAAGAAATTCAAATATTTATCTTTCATTATTGTGACAATCATACTATTTTCTCAAATCTGAAATGAAAACCAATAACTCACAGAAAATGTCTGAAAATTGAATGGAAAACTTCTTCATATTTATTTGAAATAAAAAGTTCATGTACACACATGGTTCATTGTGAAGGCATGTCAAGGTATAGAACTTTGACTGAAAGAGATTGTCTAAATTTTTTATGTATATTGGGGACACTGATAGCATTGATAGCAATATTCAGACTGTGATTCTTGCAATTCCTCTGAGTGTTTTATGACGTCACTTTTACATAAGCTGATATTGTATTGTGAGTTGTGACATCATCAAACACTTAGTTTTAGTGGAATTGCAAGAACCACAGATGTCTGTTTGAATATTGGAATCGTGCAAATTGATTCTAACCGTGTCTCTGATTCACATGCATTTTTTAGAAAACCTCTTTACAATCCCTTTAAGTGTTGAATTCTACATTGCTAAACTTACAAAAAGTTTTAATCATGACATATTTTGAGAAACCTGAATCCTGGTCTTAAAATACAAAACACATTTGAATGTTTTATAGATGATAAAGAAGTTATACCAAGAGACAGCTACTGTGGTATGGAATGGTCATGTTGTGAAGGGGGCTGGAGATATTGTCCATTTCTTTGAAAATTTACCATCATCTCAACACACCATAACATCATTAGATGCTGTACCATTATTAGGTTAGTATAACAATTTACCATTATTTCACCATTAGATGCTGTACCATTATTAGGTTAGTATAACAATTTACCATTATTTCACCATTAGATGCTGTACCATTATTAGGTTAGTATAACAATTTACCATTATTTCACCATTAGATGCTGTACCATTATTAGGTTGGTATTACAATTGTTGGTAGAACAATTTACTGTTATCTCAACACACAATAACATCATTAGATGCTGTACCATTATCTCGACACACCATTACATTATTAGATGCTGTACCATTATCTCAACACACCATTACATTATTACAAGCTGTACCATTATCATACCACACCATTACATTATTAGATGCCGTACCAATATCTCAACACACCATTACATTATTACAAGCTGTACCATTATCTCAACACACCATTACATTATTACAAGCTGTACCATTATCTCAACACACCATTACATTATTAGATGCTGTACCAATATCTCAACACACCATTACATTATTACATGCTTTACCATTATCTCAACACACCATTACATTATTAGATGCTGTACCAATATCTCAACACACCATTACATTATTACATGCTTTACCATTATCTCACCACACCATTACATTATTAGATGCTGTACCAATATCTCACCACACCATTACATTATTACAAGCTTTACCATTATCTCACCACACCATTACATTATTAGATGCTGTACCATTGTCATACCACACCATTACATTATTAGATGCTGTACCAATACCTCAACACACCATTACATTATTACATGCTTTACCATTATCTCAACACACCATTACATTATTACATGCTTTACTATTATCTCACCACACCATTACATTATTAGATGCTGTACCATTATCTCAACACACCATTACATTATTACAAGCTGTACCATTATCTCACCACACCGTTACATTATTAGATGCTGTATCAATATCTCAACACACCATTACATTATTAGATGCAGTACCAATATCTCAACACACCATTACATTATTACAAGCTTTACCATTATCTCACCACACCATTACATTATTACATGCTGTACCATTATCCCAACACACCATTACATTATTACATGCTGTACCATTGTCATACCACACCATTACATTAGTACATGCTGTACCATTGTCATACCACACCATTACATTATTAGATGCTGTACCATTATCTCAACACACCATTACATTATTAGATGCTGTACCAATATCTCAACACACCATTACATTATTACATGTCGTGCCATTATCTCACCACACCATTACATTATTACATGCTGTACCATTATCTCAACACACCATTACATCATTAGATGCTGTACCATTACCTCAACACACCATTACATTATTACATGCTGTACCATTATCATACTACACCATTACATTATTACATGCTGTACCATTATCATACCACACCATTACATTATTAGATGCTGTACCATAAACTCACCACACCATTACATTATTACATGCTGTACCATTACCTCAACACACCATTACATTATTACATGCTGTATCATTACCTCAACACACCATTACATCATGTAATCATCATTATTAGATACTATACCATTATCTCAACACACCATATCATCATTAGATACTATACCATTATCTCATCACACCATTACATCATGTAATCATCATTATTAGATGCAATACCATTATTAGCATGGTATAACAATTTACCATCATAACATTATTAGATTCTGTAATTGTAATGTAATTTATTCTTTTTACAGACTCACTGACACCTGGACATAAAACAATAATGTTAACAGTTTTTGGAACAGTGAAATATAACGATGAGAAAAACGTGAAATCCTTTTATCAAAATTTTATGTTGACATCTCATGATAAAGTGTGGAAAATAATCAGTGATACTTTCAGATTTTTAGCTTGAGTCACTGCCAGTTTGGTTCAAATG